TTTTTTTGGTTTTTCGAGACAGGGTTTCTCTGTGGTTTTTGGAGCCTGTCCTGGAACTAGCTCTTGTAGACCAGGCTGGTCTCGAACTCACAGAGATCCGCCTGCCTCTGCCTCCCAAGTGCTGGGATTAAAGGCATGCGCCACCACCGCCCGACCTCAGGCTTTTCTTTAAACATTTTCATCTCCACAAGAACTGACCTCACTCTGATTACACTTCCTGGTGCTCCCTTTCTCCTCAAACTGGCCATTTTGTATTTCTCTTTATCCATCTTGCTCCTTTTCATAATAGATCTGCATAAGAGTGATTGCTGGGGCTGGAGAGATGGCTCAGCGGTTAAGATCTTGCACTGGCTGCTCTTCCAAAGGTCCGGAGTTCAATTCCCAGCAACCATATGGTGGCTCACAACCATCTGTAATGAGATTTGGCGCCCTCTTCTGGCGTGCGGGCATACATGGAGGCGGAATGTTGTATACATAATAAATAAATCTTTAAAAAAAAAAAAGAGTGATTACTAATGATCACCCAACACAGTCAGTACTAGGCTGTCTTGAAATCTCCTCTGCCTTGAAGGATTCATTAATCCAAGACTCTTCAATTTTGCTTCTGTCAGTTTTAGGACAAGGGCAAAACCCAGCCACATTATTTACCAAAATATGACAAGAATATCTCTAGGCTACTTAATTATATTTTCCCCTCTGAAACTTCTTGAGCTGGCCCCCCACAATTCAAATCATCCTTAGCACTGTCTTCCATGATCCTACTATGATGCCCATTAATCCCTGCTTAAAGCATCCAGCTTCTTTACTAGTCTAAAGTCCCAAAGTCTTCCGTATTCCTCCAACAAACAGCACAGTCAGGCCTATCACAGCAATACCCTAGTCCCTGGCACCAACTTCTGTCTTAGTCACTGTTCTGTTGCTGTGAAGAGGCATCATGACCAAGAAATTCTTATAAAAGAAACAGCAAAGTTACTATGGGTGGCCATGCACAGACTAAAGTTTCTTAGGACCCTAGGGACAACTTGTACCCGGAAGAGCAACCAATGCTCTCAACAACTTAGTATATGCTAGAGGTAGCATTTCAAGTCAATGGAAAAAAAAGACTATCTGATAAAACTGGTTATCAGTCTGCTCCTGTAACAACAACAAAAATAGAATGATTTATAATTAGAATACAGTTCTGGAGGTCAGAAAGCCCCAGGTCAAGGTGCAGACCAATTTGGTGCCTGGCAGGGGCAATTCTGCTTCACAAATGTAGCCTTGTTGCTGCAGCTTATAGAGATGATTAAAACTGTCTCCATAATGGAAGAGCAGAAGGATAAAAAGGGACAAAGGCTGTGCCCTCTCATGCTAGAAGAGATGGAATGGCCCAGTGGTTATTGTAACAAATGCCTAGCTATAAAATGAAATGGCTGACCTCTAGGAGCTACATCTGGGTCATCTGGTAAAGAAGGGCCAAGGAGGCTGGGCGGTGGTGGTGCAGGCCTTTAATTCCAGTACTGGGGAGGTAGGAGCAGACAGATCTCTGAGTTCAAGACCAGCCTAGTATACAAAGCGAGTTCCAGGAAGCCAGGCTACACAGAGAAACCCTGTTTCAAAAAACCAAAGGGGGGGGCAGTACACAAGGTAAGATAAAACAGGCTCTACTTCAGAGAGAAGGGGCCAGGGAAGAGCAACAGAAAGCCACAAAAAGAACCATGTTACGCTACCTGGTCTGAAGAGGCAGGGGAAGCAGAAATCGAGGGAGTCCTGATGAAAAGGCAGCAGTCCTAACCGCAGGACAAGCCCTCAGCCTTCAGAAGTCTCTAATCTGGCTGCAGGGCTTGCTGAAGCTCTGCCTTCTCAGTGGGGTGGGTCAGCAATGAGAAGAGCTCCCCTTGCTCAGGGGCTGTGTCAGGGCACCATCTTGAGACAGAATCCACTGTTCAAACCTGAGCTATCCTAAGGGCCAGAGAAAAGGAACAGTCTTAAGTAATGGTGCCTTAATTAAACTTACTGTGGCCCCAAGGCAAGAGGTAGCCCTGGGAAACAGCCGTGGAAAACAGGAGGGCAGGGCACCAGCCAGCTGAAAAGTCCCACTGGCATGGGACTGAAGCAGTGAAGAAATATGCCCTTGCCCTGGGTCTGCGGCTGAAGACCTCTTGCGCTCAGAGTAACAGCAGTGGTCAGCCGGTGGATCATCCTTTGGCTTTCCCTGGAGAGCAAGACCTGAAACTCCCACAGACCCCTTGGTATCGACAGCTGCCTCTCTTTAGCAGGGTGATCACTGCTTAGAGGGCTCCGGAAGTGTGGAGTAAATTCACTAGTACAGAACCCAGTGTGTGCTTAATTCTGCGAATGCCAGCATGATAGGGAGAACTCCCAGCAAGAGTACTAGCCACATACAATCTGGAGAGTTTGGAAAGTCAGAAAACCTATCTGGTCCAAAGATGGAAAAGCTAAGCGTGTCCAGCAGCGCCCCCTAGTACACAAAGAACTACAGACAGCAATGGTGGCCATTGCATACATATTCCATGTGCACACCCATAAATCCCAGGGAAGACGAGAGTTCACAAGTTGCACACTCATAAATCCCAGGGAAGATAGAGTCCACAAGTTGCTCCTCCATACATAGATATTGGCAGACTTCAATATTCAAGACCCAGCCAGAAAGAAGCTAACCCAACACTCCATAGTTTTTAACTTTCTTTCCTTTTACTGGGGGGGGGGGACCCCTTCTTTCTCTTGCTGTGCTCTTCTCAGTAAGTAATGTTTTTGGTTTTCCTTCATGCATGTACCTCATTTTAATTACATATTTTTCTTATTGTTTGGCAATTTTCTTTCATCTTCCCTGACAATTTCTCTTTTTTTTTCTGTCTACTGTACTTTTAGTAGTATTTTGACTTTATTTCATTGCTTTAAAAAACCTTTATCTTTTAACTTTTTTATTCCATTTCTTATGTTTATCTAATTTTGGTTACAAATTTTTTTCTTCCTTGGGAAACCTTGTGTTCCTTTTTAAAATTTCTTGCTCTTTTCTCTTCCCCTTCATAATATTCTTCACCATCCTCCTCTTGTTTTTCCTGTCCTTTAAGATGATTTAAATTTTTCTCATTTTATTATGTGTATCGGTGTTTTGCCTATATTTGTGGTCTGTGCACATGAGTGTAGGGCCCATGGAGGCCAGAAGAGGGTACTGGGTCCCCTAACAGTGGCGTTATTGATGGTTGTGAGCTGCCATGTGGATGCCAAGAATTGAACCAGGGTCCTCTGGAAGAGCAGCCAGTGCTCTTAACCACTGAACAATCTCTGCAGCCCCTGCTTTTTCTTTATTTGACATTGCTTCTCCTCTCTTCTTCATTTTCCCTTCCCCTTTACTTGATCTCATTCATTTGTTATTTCTACATGCACACTAAATAATTTTTAACTCACTAGTACTCTACATTAATTTTACCATTTTCTGTTTCATGGCTATTGGTGAGCTATTACTGGGTTGCAATGGATTTTAAGTGTATTTCTCTATTTTGTGTGGTTTGATGTTGTTACAGCAATTTTTTTCTCCTCTCTAAGTGGTACTAAGCATTGAATACCCCTCCCAGAGTAGTTTGCTCACTAAAAAGATTCCCCCAGTACATCAGGAGAACTCAGCACCACGGCTAAGCAACCAGCGCGGTACAATTAATAGACACTAGAGCTGGGTGTGAATTTCAGGAGACGTGAGAGGAGTGCAAGAGAACCAAGTGGATTGGGAGTCGCAGAGATTTAGATAAGAAGGAAAATTTGATTAGGAAACTAGAGTAACTGAGCCACAGAAACAGGGTGTATATTTTGAGAATGGGGTGCTTGAAATTGAGATCTCAAAGGCGGTGCGGGTT